AACAGAGTTGCTTTCCAAGTGTTCCTACTCCACTCTGTCACATGACATCGGCTTAACAATTGCATAAGCTCAAACGTCACCCTCTGAAGTATTTGCTGTCTTCAGGTGGTAAGACAGCCAGGAGGGGCTCGGAGAATCCTGTGTGGGTAGAGTGTCCAAGACCATCTGGACCAACTGGGTCTGTTTTACAGAGAGGGGAACTGAGAGCCAAACAGGAAGAAATGTAGGCCTGGGTCCAAAATAGAGACAGGACTGAGCAGGGCCTTCTGTGTCTCCAACTCTTTCCAGAAAGAAAGGGAATGGTTTGCATAGGGCACTCTCTGAAACCACAAAACCAGAGCACATCTGTGGCCCAGACTCACCTAAAGCCCCCAGACTCCTAGAAAGCCTTAGAAAGGTGACTAGGGTGTGAACTCCAGGACCCTTCCCCGCTCTGCCACTGCCTGCGTGTGGGAGCTGGACAACTCTCACAACTGCTTCATCCATAAAATGGGGATGAAAAGAGTATCTGCCTGCTTTGGACCATGATGAAGTTAAGCGAGCTATGTCTCCAAAGTGCTTCGAACAGTGCATGTTCATGGTTAAGTTCCACAGCAGCACCTTGTCATAAAAATAAACTCAGGAGTGTGGAGTTCACCCAGGGGCAGTGCCTGGGCACCAGGGGACCTGTATCTGCTCTAGTTCTGTCTGGACATCTGCTCTATGGGGAGGTTCCTTTCCCTTTGGGTCTGATCCTGATCCATAAAGAGGGAATCAGGCACCTACTGGGCTACACCCCCCGCTCCTGGCCTCCATGCCTTTGGCCTTTCCCAGAACCCTGATTGCAGGGCTGGGCCCCTGCCCAGTGAAACTGGAGCTGGAATGTTCTGTTCTGGGGTGGAGGGAATTCACCTGACCTCTCAAAATTCATAAGTGTTTTGCAAATCAGGTAAGAGAACCCAGTTCAGTGAAGGGGCCAATTGTATAGCTGTGACAGGAACCCAAGGGTTCCCCTATCTCTTTTCCTCTCCAGTTTCTCTTTTCTTTTTCTTGAACTAAGAGAAAAAAGGAGGTCTTTGAAAATGTCACTTTTGAAACCACAGTAGTTGCGAATCATGGGTCTCGGATGGCCCCGTGCCTGCTCCAGGATCTATATTCACAACTGCTTCTACCCAGCCAGTTTGCAATCTGACTCCTGGCACCCTGTCCTGTGACCACGTGAGCTGGGCCGCAATCTGAGCCTCATGTACCCTGTTCCTCCCTCCTGGGGGCACCCACAGAGTGGCCTCTTCCTGCTACCTTCGAGGTAGAGCTGGCTGCATGGTTCAGAGGCCCTGGGAACTTCTGCTGAGGCCACACAGCTTGGGGTAGCGGGCCCTGTGGGAGCTCTTTGTCACTTTAGGGGTGAATAGGGCACCTAGCCAGGGCCTCAGCATCATCCTTGGGAGTGACAGTCTCCCTCCTCACTACTGGGGTTCTGTCTGAACTTTGTCATCACCTGTTGTTTGTAGACACAGCCTCGTCTGACCTCATCCCTATCCAGGATCTCAGGGTGACTCCAACAGAGCAAAAGTCTAGGATGTCTGGGGTGATGATGATAGTCACACTTCTCCTGGGAACGCAGAGATTCAAGTGCATCACATCACATGTAGCGAGCATTCTTCCTTACCTTCAAGAAAGCATCTGTCCCCAGCAGCTCCCAGGACACAGGACTCCCACGTGAGCCCTTTACACTCATGTCTGGCGGGCAGCTGGATGAACTCCTGAACCACCAAGCCACATGGAATCACTGCCCTTTGAAGGATCCCAGGCCACCAAGCAAAGATCAAACTGACTGTCTTGCCACCCCAACTCCTTTATATAGTCCATTCCCTTTCCAATCATATCCAACCTTTCATAGAAACCACACCAAAACTGCCTTCCCAGCAAATGCAAGGAACTGCACTCAACTGGAATTCCTTGCTTTCATTCTTGACTTAGCCCAGGGCCATGCTCTAACATCGCCTGCTCTGTAGACTGTCCCACCAGAAGGAAGTCATTTCCGCTCTGAGCGACATCTGCCCCAGACGTGATCCAGATGGCATACCTTGAGCTAACTAGGGGCAGGATCCATGCCAGGTTCCAATGCTGGTACCCAGTACCAGGTTAACTAGAGGGAACCATCTGGCCTGTATTCTCACTCCTAAAAGTATACTCTCTTGTAATTCTATGCAACCGTGGTCTAGAATAGAATTGGAATGGACAATTTCACAGATGAAGCATTGCTGTTTTCATTGAAACATGGGCTGATAGAGGAAGCAGGGGAAGGAGGAGGGGCCCAAGACTCTGCATCAGGACCACTTTACAATCAACTTGAGCAGTCCCACCAGGAAAGCATCTCCTTGTGATTAAACAGGAAACCATTGTAAACAGCAAGATGAGGATCTATTGCCAGAAGGATGTGTCACTCCATGGGACCTGAGACCAGCCCCTAAATTACGATGCTGGGCTATCTGGAAAGAAACCAAGTCTATAGGTAAAACCAGGTTAAAGGTGCCTGGAAGATGACTTCTGAACAGGACCAGCCAACTCCATCATCTCTTGGGTCAAACACTGGGGTCTGAGGGAAGACAACCAGCAGCTGCCTCTGACATGCTATGTCAGGGACAGGGCCAAAATGGGAGGTGGGACATCTAACCTCTGTCCTTGCCTTTTCTCTGCTGAGCTGTGCTGTCTGCATATCATCTGTGGTGGTTTATGGGCTAATGAGATGGTTACTGAAGTACTGTTTTCCCTATTGGTCACTGTTATGTCAGAGTTGAACAATGACTGACTTTAAAAATATGAAAGATTCTACCTCTAATTAAGAACCTATCCAGTGGAATGACTGACTTCAGTAGCTTTCACTTCTACTTTCACTGTGCTTGATTCCTGGTATGTAGTTAAAGGATGGAGACCTGTCCAGGAGGCTGCTGGGAATGCCTCCCTCGGTCCTGCTCACAGCTCCAGTGGGACTTGCCAAATAACACAGCACTGGAGCCCTCTGCCTCTTAATCCTGGGTGTCCTGACAGCACAGGTGAATTCAAAGCATTAAAGAACTTCTGAAATTTGCCAACTATAAAATTTGCTGATAAAACACCAAACCCATGAGAGACGCTCTTCTTGTCCTTTATTGCTCAGATGATTTGTTCCAGGACATGTTCTCTGCCACATAGAAGCAGCAAGCTCGCTAGAGAAGTGCAATGACCCTTTGAAGAGGGTGACAGTGCTGCAGGGGCATGGTTCTCTAGAAGCCTGTGTGTGCTCTGAATCGGGGGCCACATGTGGCTCTGTTTCCCTCACAGTCGAGATCCACAGCTCCAGGATTCAAGGCTGGACACTGACTGGAGCGATAGCACTTGGTGTTACCCTGAGTGGCATATTAGCAACATTTTTTCTTCTTGTTCTGTTGATCTTCTGGCCTCCTTGTCTAGAAGCCTCATTTCTAAAGAAGCAATGCTTTCTTTGAGGAATGGTGCTTTGACAGGAGGCACAATGATTCCATTGATCAGGAAATGAAGACTGTCAACTGGCTGCTGGGGTTCCTTGTGCTTCAGAATCAATAAGTGAAGAAAGGGTCACAGTGCTGATTGGAGTGACTGACCTAACTACCAACTACTCTGCAATGGAGGTACGGAAGATGGGAGAATCCTTGGGGTGTCTCCTTGGACTGCTATGCTCTGTGAGGAAAATCAATGGAAAACTTGAACAGCCTATTCCAAGAAGGACTGTTCAGCCCAGACCCTTTGGGGATGGAGCTGAGGATCACCCTGTCAGGTGAAGAACCACAGCCAGTGGAAGTGCTTACGGAGGGCAGAGGCACTGCAGAACAATAGAAGCAGGTGGTGATAAATACCAGCTACCTCCATCTGACCAGCCAGAGAAACCAGGACTGCAATTGTCATGAGTATTTGCACCTTGTTTTCTGAACATGAGTGCAGATAGCAAATATCATTGCTCCCCCGTACCCCCACCCCCGGCCCCGTCTACAAGGGCAGCCAGTGCTCTTGACCACTGAGCAATCTCTCTAGACCCTATCACAGCATTTAAGTATTACTTTTCCATCATAGCATTTAAGTTATAGGGTATCAAGGAGAGAAGTAAGGAGACATTTTTTTTGTTGTACAGTTAAGGCCTGCTATCATCTTTATTTGCAAGTGACCTCTGGTTTGAAGAGTTGCATACAGATGCCAAGTTAACAGAGAGGTGACTTGTGATGGTTCATGAGTCAACTTGCCTGGGTCACTAATTCTCAGACGTTTGGTCAAGTGTTATTCTAATTGTATCTGAGGTGTTTCTGGAGGAGATTAACATTTGCATCTGTAGACTGAGTCAGGCAGATGGCCTCCATGATATGGGAGGGCCTATCCCATATGAGGGCCTAAATAGAACAGAGAAGCTGATCGCCCCCCCCAGCAGGGGGGATTGCAACCTGCCTAACTGCCTGGATTGAATAATTGTGTGTGTGTGTGTGTGTGTGTGTGTGTGTGTTTTCTGTGTTTGGATGTAAAACATGGGCTCTTTCTAAGTCTTCATCCTACCAGCGTTTAGACCAGAGCAAGGTCATCAGCTCTCCAGATCTCCAGCTTGCCAACTGCAGATCTCAAGGCTTATCAGCCTCTGAAATCACATGAGTTGGTTGCTCATATATCTCAATAGGATAGGTATGCATTATATATTCACACACACACACACACACACACACACACACACACACACACTATTGGTTCTGTTTTTCTGGAGAATCATGAGTAATGCAACGCTTTAAAAATAGCCCCGCTGAGGCCACATCATTCCAGTGCACTGTCATATAAGGAGACAGACAGTGGGGCGCACCCACCTACCCACCCGATGTGGTCATGGCACTGGCCCCTCTCCCGGGTGCCAGGGCACAGCTCTTCCTCCAGGTATCAGGGCACTGCTCCTCCCCCAGATGCCAGGGCACTGCCCCTCTCTCAGGTGCCAGGAACCCCCGTCTGTGACTGTCTTTTGTACTACTCACATCAGGGTCAAGCTCATCCAGCTCATTTTCCAGCGTTCTGAGCTCCTCCTCTGTGAGGGCTCCTAGGATCTCATCCTCATCTAGGTCCCTGTATTTCTCTAGCTCTCGTCTATAGGACATGGTGGAGGGACTGGTCTTTGTCTTCTGAGTTTCTCTGTTGATTGATGACCTGCCAGAAAGAGGAAGAATTTTAGATTCTTGCTAGATTTGTTCTCAAGCAAAAGGATGCTTGTCACTCACATGGTGGGATATATTTAACGGTGGCTAATTTGGATTAGCTCTCTACCTCTCCTCCAACAAAGTGAAAGTCCCAAGGGCAAGCAATTTAATGGGTTTTATTTCTTTGGGGTGTGTGTGGACGTCAGAGGATAGCCTTGGGTGTCAGTCCTAGCTGTTTGTCTTTGCTGTTCACCACTGTGTACGCCAGGCTAGCTGGTCTGCAAGCTCCCAGGGACTGTCCTATCTCTGCCTCCCATCTCTCTATAGGAGCCCTGGGATTAGATGTGTCCTCACTATGACACTTGGATTTACATGAGTTCTGAGGATTCAAACTCAGGTCCTCACACTTGTATAGCAAATGCTTTACCCACTGAGTCATCTTCCCAGCCCAATTAGTGAATTTTAGTTAGCTGTAATGGGCATGATCCTTAACTGGAAGTAAATTGGTGATTACAAATGGTTTATGAGTACTTGACAATTTTATTCTTCAAGAGTTCAAATACTTTTCTGGACAGTCCTCCTGATGTCCCAGTGGGAACCATGAGTGCCATCTACTGTCAAGTTTTGTCTTTTAACGGGGAGGGGTCAGGGTTAAGTGAACATGCAGGCCCCTCACCTACCAAGGCTCACTCAGTCCTGACAGAAAGCAGACTATAGGAACAGTTTTTACACCAAATGTCAAGCCATCAGCAAAGCAATTCACACTTAACCTGTGTGGTGGGCATTTGCTGTTGTCCCCCTTTCTAAGGGGACACTGGACTTAGAGAGGTTGAGTGACTTGCCTACATATGTCACACTACCATGAAGTGGCAGGTCCACAATTTGAACCAGATCTGCTGGCTTTTGAAGCCCACAGTGGTTTAACTGCCATACAACGGAAGATTTTTAAAGGAATCACTGAGTGTCATGGTAAGAGGACTTGGTCTGGGTTGGACCCCTCATGCCACTCTCCTTGGAGCTGCTTCAGAGGGAAGAAGTGACTTGCCCAGGGGCACCAGAGTCCATGCCTGCCATTGCCAGGCTGCTGGTTCCTGTTGGAGAAGTCGACTGTTTACTGCCCATTTCACAGGTGCTGCCCAACACCCCCAACATGACGTTTCCATACCTATGAACTCGTGCCAGCCTCAGGGAAGAACTTGTAATTTAGGTCTTTTAAGTAAGACCATTTTACCAATGAAGAAATTCAAAGATGCCCTTGGCTTTGACTCAGGGAACCACCGGAGTCAAACCTAAGGCACCCAAGGCATCTGACACCACCCTGTGGGTGCTTCTCACTACACTGCATAGTCTCCCCTAACCTGAGAGGGGCAGCAGGTCCCTTCTTTCAGCTTAACTAAAATTAATGACATGACATGTCCTGCTGATATGTCACCTCCTTGAGAAGCCGTGACAATGCCTTATGAACCTGACCTCATCACGATCCCAGCACTGGGTCCACACCTTCTGTGTGGCTTCATGCCTCTGCGTTGGCTTTTCTGTGGCAAGGACTGAGTCTGTATCATCTCCCTGCTCCCAGGGCTCTGCCCAGGGGCTGCACCTACAGTTGGAAGCTTCTCACTGAAACCAGCCTAGCTCTAGTTCTCTCCACACGATCTCTGTGTGTGAGTCTGTCCCCACCTGGCCACCCACCTACCTAAGCCAAGCCATCCTCTACCCTTGGGCAGGCACTTGGAGCAATAGTCCAGGAATTTCTTAAAAGTGGTGGCATGAATTCAGTCCTGTGTAACACAGCCAGTGCAATGGATTGACTGTGTTGCCTCAAACTTTCAAATTTGAATCTCCAGAACCCAGTAGCATATGACAAAGAAGAATGTGGCCCTTACAGGGTTGCTGTAGATATGTTTAACTTTAGACAAGGTCACCCTGGAACAGGATAGGCCCTGACAGAACATGATAGTGTTCCTATAGGAAGAAGACAGTTGGGCTCAGGCACACACACAAGAAGAGTGCCATGTGTTGGTGCAGGCAGCGAGCAGGATGAGGTTTCGACATGCCAAGGCTTGTCAGAGAACCTCCAAAGCCAGGGGAGAGACCTTGGGCTCCTTCTTCCTTTCAAACACCAGAAGAAGCAAAGCAGCTGACACCGTGATCTTGACTCGGCTGTTCCAGCCACTCTACTGTGGCATGTTGTCCTGGCACCCTAGCACCCAGCACCCTTGCATAATTGTCATCCCCTCTTCACAGCAGTTCTTTCTAGACTCCCATGTAAGCCAACAAACAAACACATCCATGGCTCATCTGTGAAATGACAGATGGAATTTTCCACAGTAGAGAAAAGTGAAAACTGAGAAAAGACAACCAATCAATCAATGTAAAGCCTGGGGTTTGTTCACTAAAAACAATTAGAGTGATTTAAAACAAACTAAAACCAGAGTTCCCTAAACTACCAGAAAAAGCAACCACTTCAGAGAGCAGAGAGCATGTTTCATTAATGTAAGTCTGCATGCATGGGCATATCTGCAAGAGAAGGTGGGGTACGTGGCAGTCACCTTGATAGGACTGGCTTGCTTTCAAACCCAGAAACCCCAGTACCACCTTGTTCTCTAAGTCTCAGCCTGGACTGATGTCTTCCTTTGACCAGACCCCAAAAATGCAATGTTTGGACCGTAAGTGGGCTCCCCTGATTCATTTCCATTTGCTTCCAAACAAAGCACAGCCAGTTGACAATGCTCCGCTATTGATGCAACAGCCTCCCAAGGGCCTCCCAACAGCAACCTCATTTGGCTTGTCCTAAGTGAAGACAGGAAACAGAGGATTCATGATCTCCATCCTGGGGCCCAGAGGGACCCAAATATAAGACTCAGAGACTTCCAGAATGAACTTGCAAAGATGTCTGGCATACCCTCCAAATTAGCCTCTCTTAAGTAGACCACAAAATACAAGCTTTTGGCTCTTGCTATGGTCTACATGTGATTTGTTTCCCCAAAGTTTCTTGTGCTAGAACCTGGTCACCAGTGTGTGTGTGCATGTGCGTGCGTGGGGGGGAGCAGTATTGTGCTATTGCAGCCTTTAAGAGGCAGGGTTTAGTGGGAGGTAGTCAGGCCACTGGAGGCATTTGCCCTCTGGAGGGTACTGCTGATCTTCTGGAATGAATTAGTTCTTACCTGAAGAAGTTGTTATTAAAAAAGAGCGAGACTGGCCTGTCCCTTTCTGGCTTATGATCTCACCATGTGGTTTCTACTTCTGGTATACCCTCCTACCATGATGCCATTGCCATGTTGTGATGTGTCCAAGAAGGCTCTCACTGGAGGTGGAACAGATGGGGCCACTTAACTTTGGATTATCAGCCTCCAAAATTGTGAGCTAAATAAAGCTCTTTACTTTTCAAGTTTGTCTTAGGAACAACAACAGAAAATGGGACTATGACAGTCATCAAACAGGTTTAGATTGTACCAAGTTCCACAAGACCTGAGCTACAGGACTTCTCCAAAGTTTTACTCTATGGCTACACCAAAGACATCTCCCAGAAAAACAAATTGCCAAGTAGAATTCCCCAGCCCTTTGAATATGACATCACGTCTCTAAGAAACTGTTCCCCAAATTGGACTCTCAGAAAACCAGTTTTGGAAAGCAATGCCAGAGAGTCACTTCTGGGTCATAGCAAGGAACCATCACACAAGAAGGGACATCACAGGGACAGAGCCCAGAAGGGCACAACTCCAAGGGAGCCAGGCAGTGTTGAAACCTGAGAGCTTTCGGTGCTTTTTATTGCCAGCTGACTCATTTTCTGGGTGATCTGCAGTGAAACTTTAGAAGAATCACAGATGGACCCTGGAGAATAGGGAATGGGGAGAGAGGATCTCATATGAAAGGCAGCTTGGGCAGAAGATGTGGAGAAGGAGCCAGAAGAGAAAGGTAGGTGGCAATTCTGCAACGTGCTCAAGGAGAGATGTGGGGGCCGGGCCACAGGCCACCCCCGGATGCCTCCGCAAAAGATGACGTCATCAGATTTCCTGAAGAAGTCTTCTCTCTTGTTGTGGCACTGGGGTTTCTGGGCTTTGGAAGCGAGCCAGTCCTTCCCAAGGCGGCTGCCACGTACCCTCACCTTCTTTTGCAGATGTGCCCGTGCACCCAGACTTACATTAAGGATGTGCTCCCTGCTCTCTGAAGTTCAGGCTCCACTACTTACTTACCCCAAACTGCTGTCGAATTCAAAATCTCTAATTCCTAGCGTTATGAAGCCCTTACAAATGTCAAATGTCTTGTGAATATCACAGAGGGATGAGACACTGTGTTCAATAAGCTGAGAAGAGCCAGGCGCTCCAAGGGTAAATTATGAAGCTGTCAGCTTCAAGCCACACTCATCAAGTTGGCTCACAGGGATGATTTCTACAAAGTGGAATTCTCTTGTGGTTGGGGGTCCTCGATGGAGGTGGGGGAGGAGACAGGGTAGGATGGAGGTAAACCCGGAGTGTTAATAGATCCCATGCAGGCTCCATCTTTCAACACAGCTTGGAAGAGATTGCATTTCAGAACTGTTAAGCGAGGTCTCCCTCTGTTTCCTAATAGAAGAGGCGTCCAGGATAGAACACAGGCCTAAGAATCCCAGATTTGATTGGCGTGCTAGTTTTGATAGTAATTACCTGGGAAACCTCTCTAAGTTCTCTGGGCCTCTGTTTGCTCAACTGCAAAATGAAAGAATTGGGTTGCACAGGTGGCTTTGAAACTGCCCAGAGATCTTGGAGAAAGTGCCTCTAAATCCCTGTAGAGATCAAAGGGCTCCTCTGACCTTGCCTGGTGTGTTTACTTGGGGACCATATATAAGCGCCAAATAAAAGTCTGAGAATCATGCAACTGGCCTTTTTGTGTGACTGGCTAAGCCCCAGTCCCAGAGGGGAGGGATGGGCAAGCTGGTGATGACGCCACCACAGAACCCCAACATGACCCTCCTGGAGCAGAGCAGCTTCTACTGCTCACCTGCCTTGTAAATTGGATCCAGAGTCAAGCATT